TGGCTGGGTTTGAATTTGCCACCTCCAGCATATGGGGCTGGTGCCCTATTCCTCTGAGCCACAGGCGCCACCCTCAACTCCTTAAGTTGACCTACTTTTCATAGACCGGACATGCACCCCATGTACCTAACAGTTCAGTAGGCCTAGCCCCTTATGTTGAGTACCTCTGTATGTGGACCAAGTTGTTGCAGCCCCTTGAGTGGTCAACTTACAGATCTTCTACTGTACTTTCAAATACATAATGTGAAAATTATCCACACTATCTAAATCAATCATGAGGGTCCTACTACATGTGATTTTTGAAAACTAATTAAATCCCAAAATTTATCTGGGAGGCCCTGGGGTTTATCAGGGGCTTCCCCACCCTGGCTCTTTAATAGAGAATAATCTAGAAGTAAATAAATTATTAGGATTTCCTAAGAGGAAAATGAGCACTCACTGGAAAAATGCAGAGCATAAGCACAAAACTTGTAGCTATTTCGGATAGCCTCAAATCTACTTCACCACCTGCCACCCTGTTGTTCCAAGTTAACATTGACATCAACCCTTCAAATATTCCAGTTTGCAAAGAATGGCAATGGATGAGTTTGCTTCAGAACCTGGTACACCGCAAACACGTTATTTGCTCATGTAAGGAAAAAAATAAAAAAAAAAATTTAAGATCCGAGGGTAAGTGCACTTTGCTGGATAGAGGCCCTAGTTTTCCCAGTAAGTACATATATTCATTCACCAGCCCGGTTTTCAAGATTCAAATACAATTTACCGGGGGCGGGTGTGTGTGTGTGTGAACTTAATGGGGTGAGGCACTCGGGCACGTGCAACTCTGGAATATCTTCCTCTATACTGCCGACTTTCAATCAAGATCGCGCTGTCACCCTACCCGAGAGGAGGAATCAACCCTGCCTCGCATTTGGGACGTGAACCCAACGCCGAACTGGCCGCCGGGCGGCCTGGGGCCTGGAACCTCAGGGAAAGGGGCGGGTGCTCCCTGGGAGAGACCAGCGCCCGAGCCCCGGGGGCGGAGAGGCGGCGCTGGCCGGAAGGCGCGGCCACGCCGGGCGTGCACCTGTCCCCTCTTCCTGGACTGAAGGGGACAGGTCCCTCACCTGACGCGAGGTGTCCTCACTCCTCATAGCTCAGAGGGGAGAAATCCTTTCCCGTTCCTCGAGGGTCAGTCTCTGAACACGAGGAAACCGCCTCGCCGCGCTCACCCGCATCCCGAGCCTTCCCTGCCCGGAGCCCGCAGTTCCCAGGCTGTCCCGCAGGCCCGCGGCGCCCTTACCTGTGTGGAGCGCGCCTGCTGCGCGGAGCCGGCGGAGTGAGAGGCCACTCGGCGACTCGGAGTCAGGAGCCCGCCCGCTCCGTCGCCGCCCCCTATTGGCCCGCCCTGTCCCTGATCGCCCCGCCCCGTCCCTGATCGCCCCGCCCTGCCCCCAACGCTCAGCCGCGTCTTCGGTCGCTCCTCCCCGCCACCCTGCGGGCACCCGCAGGAGCCCAAGACAGCGGTTGTCAGGCTGTCATCCCAGCTGTCCCAGCCAGAGTTTCAGGGGATGTCCCTTATGTTTTCGGACGTGGCCTTGAGTGTCCCTGGGCCCAGGTTTCTCATCCTAGGAGAACCGCCCCACGAGGGCTCTAACCTCCCTGCCCGGGACTACCTGGAGCAGTGCCACCTGTGGGTGACCGGGAGCCCTGTCGGAATTAGGAACAGCACCTCCCCTTCCGCTGGGCAGTGGCGGGCCGGACGGGTGACAGGGTGCGTAGGGCCACGCAGCGAATTTTAGCTAAAGAGTAAGTGGTTTCATTGTCAAGCCTGAGGCGTGGCTGAGAGTCTGCGGCGGTGAGAGCGTATTGACACGTCACCTGGGGAAGGGCAGAGAACGACCTTCACAGGAGAACCACTGTCTGCCAGAAGGTGCTCCAGGTAGCTCCCAAGCATTACAAACTCTGCGAAGTCATTCCTCTTAGTAAAGTAGCAGGAGAATGAAAAGGCAAATATCTAAGGTACTCAATACCAATGAGAATTCAGTAGAGGAACTAACACACGCCCACACCAGAGAAAAACTCAATTCAAGTTGGGGGGGAAAGGGGGAGACAGGAGGAGGGAGGGGTGGATGTGCTCCCAGCTAATGAGCGCAGTGTAAGGGTGTGTGGCACACCTCCCCGGTGAGGACACACTTACAGCTCGGATTTTACCTAACAAAAGCAAACATTCTATTATTGATACCCTCATATTAATCTGAAATTTTAAACAAATTCTCTAAAGTATATATTACTTTTACACATGGTGAAAGTGAGGCACAGAAAAGTTAAATAACTTGCCTAATGTCACCCAGCTAGTAAGTTGAGAAGCTGGGCTTCAAATCCAGGTAGTCCTCTGCACCCTTGGCTTTTAACCACGCTGTCCTGTCTCACCAAAATCTGTGTCCCTCAAATACCTCGAACTGTTAGAGGCCTGGGGAATATAAGACAAGAGATCTGCCCTCAGCCAGCTTTTATCGTAGTCTGGAGAGAAAGACGATAAGTGATTGTTGACTAGAGGTAAATAAATTAAGCTTTTAAAGAATTAAAGTTACTTTTATTGGGAAGTCTTACTGAGGGCTACAGACCAATGCCTTCCACCCAGGAGGAATTTTTTCTGACTCCTCCAAAAAATGATTCTAGTTCACAGTTTATCTACAGCTGGAGAAGTTTCAGTACGTGCAAACTCACATCCAACTGTGGGTGTAAGAGTTATAGTTACAGATTCCAGCAGCATAATCACTAGCCCCCGTCAGACGTTATCTTATGGGCAGGGAAGGGAAAGGACCAGGGCCATTTAACTTTTAAGGAATGTAATGAGTCAGGCAGGAGAGGCGGGAGTCCTGTGCTCTCTCCTGTTTGGTCTTCACAGCGTCTTTCTGGAGAGCTGCGAGTTGGCACAGAGTCCGGGGCTCTGTGAAATGATGCTGGCAAGCAGAAATCACACCTTCTTCTTCTGTTTGTCACTTTGTTTGACATAATCAATAAGCGAGTGAAAAATGAAACCATTTCACAAGTGAGAAGTGCCTTGATTAAAATAAGACAAGGCTGTGAAAGTGAGAGTGAAAGTCTGCTTTAGACGGGGTGGTCCTGGAGGCTTCTCTGCGGAGACAGTTGAAGCTGAGACCTGAAGGATGAGGCAGGCGGCCAACCTGAAGAGGACGCTAAGGGAACGGCCAGGGCATCAACAGCTCCCACACCTCATGCTCATTTGGGACTTGGAAGTAGTGTCTTCTTACACGATTTCTCCTACGATAGCTCTAATAACCCTGAGAAGTCTGACAAGATTCCATTTGACAGGAAAAAAAATAAAAATACAAAGGTCAGAGGGATTTCAATGACTTTCCTAAAGTCAGACAATTACTTGGGGGGAAAAAATGGATAGAGAGCGCAGATTTGGACCAAACCCTTCCGATTCCAGATCCCCTTTCACTCCAGTGAGGGCCTTGAGTATAACGACCTGCACTCTGAATGGATCTAGTAAAATTTATCTTTTGTTTTTTCTGTTGTTTCCTTCCTACCTCAGTCTCTCCTGCCTCTCACCCATTCAGATATTTGTCTGACTGGTTAACATAATTTTCCTCAGTGCAGATGGTCTTTGAGGCAATGGAATCATGAACCATCTCTAATTGTATACAAAAAATGTGGGGGAGGGGAGAGAGTTATAATTATATAATTATAGTAACAAAGTTAATTTTCTCCCAAGAAAAATGTTCATCTGCATATATTTTTAAGTCAGAGGACTCATAACTTTTATGGTATTGACTGAAATAATCAGAGCCACTGCCTTAAGGGATTAACTGATCTTACTGTGATGATTAGAAGAACCAACTTCCAATTCATTTTGCATGTTCTAGCTGGTTGACTCTGGTGGCTCATGTTCTTGGCTTAGGGGAAACAAGACTGCCAATGTTGGCTTGTCACCCATAACACACCCGGTGCCAGCCACATGCACTGAGGCTGGCAGGTTCAAACCCAGCCTGGGCCAGCTAAACAACAATGACAACTGCAACAAAAAAATAGCCAGGCATTGTGGCAGGTGCCTGTAGTCCCAGTTACTCTGGAGGCAGAGGCAAGAGAATCACTTGAGCCCAAGAATTTGAGGTTGCGGCTCGGCGCCTATAGCTCAACTGGCTAAGGCACCAGCCACGTACACCTAAGGTGGCGGGTTCGAATCCCCAGCCCGGACCCGCCAAACAACAATGACGGCTGCAACCAAAAAATAGCTGGGCGTTGTGGCGGGCGCCTATGGTCCCAGCTACTTGGGAGGCGGAGGCAGGAGACTCGCTTAAGCCCAGGAGTTGGAGGTTGCTCTGAGCTGTAATGCCACGGCACTCTACCCAGGGGGACAGCTTGAGGCTCTGTCTCAAAAAAAAAAAAAAAAAATTTGAGGTTGCTATGATGCCATAGCACTCTACTGAGGGCAACATAATGAACACTTACAGCTCGGATTTTACCTAACAAAAGCAAACATTTACTGAGTACTTTGTGCCAAGTATCATCCTAAGCACGACTGTCAATGTTTACCAAGTTTGAAAAGAAACAGAAAACCCAGACCCTCACATAACTCATTAATTAAGGTTGAAAATTAAAAGAAAGAAAAACATCTGTATATGTACAGTCCTTTATAATTCCCAGAAAAACTAGAGAGGACAAATCTGCAAACAAAATGCCTAGATCAACATACTTCTTAATAATAATTGTAATTTCCATAATGGTATACTGTTTCCTGAAGAAGGCATTCATTACACTACACTATCAAACAGTTTTAAGTGGGTGTTTCCACATTATATCATGTACAGATCATGGAAGAGAGAACCTTGGGAATTGTTTTCAGCAGCGTGTTGATAAAAGGAGAGGGATTGAGACAGAAAAAGAGACCACGGCGGTGCCTGTGGCTCAAAGAAGTAGGGTGCCGGCCCCATATACTGGAGGTGGCGGGTTCAAACCCGGCCCCAGCCAAAAACTGCAAAAAAAAAAAAAAAGAAAGAAAGAAAGAAAAGAGACCATCAGAGAACTTCAGCTATGTCAAGCAAAAGTTATAAATACTTAATTCAGAAAATGGTTGGCTAAAAATAAACAGGTTGGCTTTTGTGTTTCTTAAGTTATTTTTTAGGTGAATACAGAATTTGGATATACATAACTTAGCATTAGTTCCTAGCCAAAAGAGGGAATCTGATGGTGAACTTAAAAAGATTTCTCCCCTTAACTCCTAAGGGAAGACTCAAACAATACAAGAATCTCTTTCTTGAATAAAGTTAAGAAACAGAGCATTGATGTAAACTTCTTGGTCTGACAATTAAGTTCACAAACTTATCTTAGAAAAAGTCCTACATGTGTTTTGCAATTCCTCAAAAAGTAAAGTAGGCTCGGCGCCTGTGGCTCAAGTGGCTAAGGCACCAGCCACATACACCTAAGGTGGTGAGTTCGAATCCAGCCCAGGCCCACCAAACAACAATGA